TCTGTCTCTGACACAGGGACAGCATGCACGCTTCTAAACATATTTTGTTTTACAATTGGTCAAGTCTAGAGAATTTTTTTTGTTTGTTTGGGGAGCACTGCTTGTAAGGTTTACTTGTAAAAGTAGCTTGCATCTAAACCTAACTTGTATAACATTTGGACAAGTTGGGAGACTTTGTTCCTCGGAGGTCTTGTAGGTCACACTTGTGTATTATTTACAGTCAGCATCTAAATCGACATGTCCATAGATAAGTAATTAAAATAATTGCAATTAATTATAATTAAAATAAGTATAAATTCAGGATTCCAGAATCTTTAAGAGTGTAATGATTTTCAGTGATCCCACTGTTTAGCCACTCAATTTACATGACTCTTGACTGGATAAAAATTAAGGATACATAATTTTTAAAAAATATGTTATGTACATTTTCTACCTGATAAAAAAAATAGAGCTATAAAATATAAAGGTTAAAATATTTTAAATATGTAGTATAAAGTATAGTTCAAATATTTTTAATTAGAAAAAAATTAAAATGTTTATTCATTATACAAATGTTCATAGATGTACAAATCACTTACAATTCACAAATAGGATTCTCATGTTCTATATTCAGGTCTTCCATATATTGTATTCAGATATTCAGACTGTGTGTTTTGTCTTATTCTAAATCATTTTAAATCATCTTAAGGGCCTTATTTCGAAGTTTGCTGAGACCCCTAATGGGCCCCAGACTCCTGTTTGAGAAGATCTGATCAAAACATATTTTGTTTTACATTCAAGTAAGTCAGAGATTTTGTTGTTTGGTGGCAACTACTTAAGGTTAAAAGGTTACTCTTGTTGAGGTGAGAGTCATACATACTTTGTTTTACTGATATGGGTCAGTTAAATACAGATGTCAGCTCTTTAACTTTCTTGGGGGCAGTACAGCTTTGAGAGGATTTTGGGGATCATTATCTGTGCGTCAAGATTTGTTACAGACCTTCTGTGCAGCTTTTATAATTGTGTGCAGGACCACGGACAGCTCACACATCAGTAGTGTTTGCAGGATTGCTGGGTCTTTTCTGTTGCTGTGGCTCACACATGCGCTTAGAGCGACCACTAGACAGCACATCGGTGAAGAAAAAAGCTTTTATGCACACACACCAGATTTGTCTCTCTTTTCCCCTGCTTTGCATTTAATTCTGTGTGATCGTAAGACATTTAGGCTGCATTCACACCAGGAAAGTCTGCTAGTTCACTTGCTTTGGTCCAGACCAAATACAATGTTGATTTTTTTTTTGTTTGGTGCGGTTCGCTTTCACACTGCCCTTTTTGCAAGTGAACCAGAAACTGTAAACAAAACCACACGTGTGCTTAAGGTCATCCATTCAACCATACCAGAGTTCGTTTGGGAGAAGACCGAGACCACCTCTTCAGCTGGGTCTCGGTGCGGTTGTTTGGTCCGCACTCGAGTGCGATTGCTGTATTCACACCTGTCCAAAAGATCCGCACCAAGGGGGAAAACGAACTTGAGTTCGATTCAATCGAACCAAACAAGACAGGTGTGAATGCACCCTTAAACACTTTTTACAGCACCTTGTTGTGAGTTCACTAGTACATTGCTATTTGCATAGACATGATCATTTGTAGGAGACTTGATTATTAACTATGTATAACACTATGTTTAGTGATATAAATTATAGTGACAGGGATTGGGAGAAATATAATTTCAGGCTTCCATCTGCTGTTTTTAACATCAAATCAGAAATAATGATATGGCGTGATACATATCTGTGTGAGAGAGGGAGATTTGGTTCATTAGTTGCTCGTCCCTGGCACTCACCTTCAAAACAAATCAATTCGATTATGCAAAATGATGCCTATTAAGTGCCACTTCAGAGAGCCAAAGTGTGTGTGTTTACTGTGGTCTGCATGTAAATGTTAAGATCCTTTCTTTCAACATCAAAGGCTGTGACACTCCACAGACACCAACTGCCACCCACCAGGGCAGGAAATGACACGCAGGTACAAAAGAACAAGGTAGGAGAGCAGGGTTGTGTAATTAGCTAGGGGTAACAGATGATTGATGAGGGGAGCTACTTCAGTTCTGTGCACTTATTCTTTTTCCTTTTTCCTCTGGAAAAAAGAGCATTTTAGCCCTGGGCACTGCACTGAAATAGTCTTGTCTGAGTGAGCTGACAAGAGGCAGGAGAGTAGAAGAGCTCTCTTTAAATACTACAGCCCTAAAGAACAGACAGGCACTGGCTGCTTGACAGATAATTGTACTGTCTATTGCAGTCTACTTTCTCCGCTACTTCATTTCAACCATCCATCCAGTATATGTGGTTGTTGCAAATGTCACCCTGTAATTTTTATTTTATTTATTTATTTAGTTTCCACGAGTCTCAAGGTTTTATTGGGAATTATACAAGAGTTAGTTGCTGTACTCGATTCTGATTGGTTGAGTTGAACAGCACTGGGACTTTTTAATGGTTGTATCACTCTGCTTCTGTGTTGGTGAGTTCCAGACAAACTATCAATCTGTGTATTGGAAGTAAGGATTTTTGACTCCTTCAGTAGAGTCACTGAATCGAAGCTGATTTATTAAAAAAAACTCTTTTTGTTTAGGAATGAAACAAGTGAATGTCTTTATATGTGTTTATATGTCATTGAATAATTCACTCAACCATTTCACTCCAAAATGCATTTTCCTTCAGGAACTACAGTAAACAAGTAACTGTCTTTATGAGTGACTCACTGAGTTATTCACTCATGATCTGCTTAAAACACTGATTCATTCAGAAGAAAAACACCACCTTACTGTTGCTGTGAAACTAGAAACTAGGGTAAAAACAGACAAAGCACATGCCAACATTGTTTCTAAAATGTAAGCAGTTTATTGAACAATAAGGCAAATTACTTACATTTTATTGCGCAAAATAGTGTTATGTTATAGTTTCATAGCATTGATTAATATTTTAAATTGGCTTTTATTTTTTGATTTTCAATTTTAATTCATTTTATGGTTTTGTACTTTTGTTGTGTGCTTTCGTCATTTTTATATATTTTTTAAAATTCTATTTAGCTTTATATTTTCAGATTTCAGATTTGAAGTATTTCATATTTTAATACTTCCACTTAAACTTATTTTATTTCAGTTAGTTGCCTAGGCAACATTTCAGATTTGTATTAAAGATTTATACGTTTTTCATCTGATGTTTATATTTTATTTTATTTCTACTTAATTTCTCTCTTTTTATAGCCTTTATTTCGATAGGACAGTGTAGTTACAGGAAGCGATGTGGGAAAGAGAGGGGGCCGGGATCAGGGAAGGTCCCAGGCCAGGATTCGAACTTGGGAAGTCCGCAGCGCAAAAGCGCTATATGCCAGCACACATATCACTCAACATAACACTCAAAGCTATCGGCAGCAACATTTCTATTTAATTTTAATTAAAGTTTTTAAATTGTTTTAGTTAACAACAGCAACACTGGTATAAAAGCAATATCACACTTGTAAACGTTATGTCTGATGTGATTGATTACGTCCAGCCTCATGCCTACGGCCAAATTACAGCACATGCAATATTTTGTAGTTACATTGTTTGGAAAGGACTGGAATTATGAGCAAATGCAGACATTCAGCAATGACACTGCCATATGACAGCCTATGGAAAACACTGCCCCTGCCCTCTGCCCTGTGTTCTCTGTAGAGGAGCTCGGCCACTGTTTCCGAGTGGAGGGCAGGTCAAAGGGTGAGGCGCCCCATGACGCCCACTGCTTTCACACAAATGCTGCACCAACGCTGGATGAAGCCTTTAACCTCTGTTTTATAAGCCCCTTCTCATAAAGGATTAAATTACAGCCTCTTCTAGTTTACTCGGGTCAGTTTAGACAGAGTCCAGCTCAACCACATGGCGCCACTCGAAAGGAGTCTCAAGAGCTCCAATTTTCAGTCTTACACTGGGAGAATTTTGTAAACATTTTTGATGAAGATGGTGCTTAATTAGCTCTAATGATCATTTTGCAAAGTAGAGCTGTTTTTATAGAAAACAGGGAAAGAGGGTAGTACATATTTGTAAAAATAATGATTGTGGCATCAATGCTCTTGCGTGCAAAGCTCTTTGATAACTGCACACTGCAGCAAAGAGTGTTCATCATCAAGTCAAAGGGTCAGTCAAGGTTGTATTTCCTCTGATCTATTCAGTTCTGTCCACTTGCATTAGGTCATAGGAATGAGTTTCATGGGCCTTTGGGCTGTGATGCTCTGTGTTAGAGTTCAGCAGTGTAATGTTACTTGGCTTTAGAAGATGGGTTTTTACCAAAGTTTGAGTGATGTGTCTTATTGATACTTCGAGTTTATAGGTATTTAGGTTATATAAGTGTGATTTCAAGCTACTGAACATTTTAGAGCAGTGTCCACACTGATCATCTATTACTGCGAATGTAGCCTGACAAAACTTTTATTTTATTTTATTATTTTAATTTTGTTCATAAATGTCCTCAGTGTCTCTTCACCTTTCTACAATATGTGGGAGAATATAGCAGCAAGACGGAAAGAGGGAAAGAGAAGAATGGAGGCATGAGATTTTGCAGGGAAATGGACAAAGTAGTTGAGAAAAAGAAACAGTGGGAACCAGACTAGATGGAGCAAGAGGGATAAAGCTAATGGAAGAGAGGGAGAGAGAGATCAGGCGGCTGACGCAGAAGTCCAATGATCAAATACAGATGTCCCCCACCCCTTATTTGAAGGGGTCAATAATGCAAATCTCCAGACACAGTTGTTCTCTGAACAGCGGATTCCCTCATGCCATACTTCATATTGTTGATGGGAAATTAACGTTATGGTACTTAGAGTTTGAAATATTCGAAGGAAAGTTTTTTTTATTAGTGCCTTATTCTATCAACATCAGTTGAATTTGATGTTGAACCGTAAATACAAGCATTTTTTTTTTGTGCGCGTGTGACAAAATCTTTCAATGAAGTAATTTTTGTTCCCCCTGTTGTTGCTTTTTTTGACAGGTTTGTCCTGGTGTTTGGCTGCTTGGTGCTGTCTGTCTTCTCAACCATTCCAGATCACCAGGAAATGGCCTCTCACAATCTCCTGATCTTGGTAAGAGCTGAACTACAGTGTCAAAACAAAATCCAAACCGGATAAAGCATGAGAACAGTCTCATGCTAAGTTAAAAAAAAATATATCACATGAACTCTGTGTTAACTGTACTCTAATACCGTAGCTAGCTGTATGTCTTAAACGTTATGTAATGCTACATCCTGAATTTATTAATGTTATATAGTATAAGCTTCTACGCTTATGATTACTGTAATTAAAAGCAGAAAAAGTCAGATCCTGGCATAGGAGATATAGGCAATATTCTCTACTTCTCTAAAGTAAATTGCCTCTGTTCTCCACCAAATTCTGCTGCTATCTGTCTGATGATGAGTCTCCACACATATTAAAAGGCAAATATGGTGAAATGTTAATAGTACTGCACAACACAGGTCAAGCTAACCAAATCAGTAAATCACAATATAAACGCAACCAAATATGCCCCACTTTTAGACCTTGTGGTTTACATGGTGCAGCTTTAATGCAGCATGATGGAATATTGTCAATAGTTATTTGATTACTAAGCCCTGACAAAAGCCAGCTGCAGGTGAGAGATATGAACACTGGATCAAAGGCTCATGTTATGCTGGTTTTCTGTTCCTGGAAGCCTGCTGGTTTGTGTACTGGTAATGATGGCCATACAAATGGACCTGATTTGTTTTATTGACTCAGCTGATACCAAACGTGATCTGTATGATGTTCATGATCTGTAGGCAGTACTTATATGATCATAATGGAAGATCTTTTATTCAGTCATACTGCTGCCCCTTTAATTGACAATGCAAAGACAGGAGGTGAGTCAACAAAATAGTGGTCTTTTAAAATGGCTTTTACCTCAGTGAATTGAGTCAGAGACTCCATATAAGTTTACCAGTCAACATCTGCTGCTGTATGTGTGCATTATTGTGTTTGCACATGTTTGTATATGTGTATGTGTTTGTATATGCTTTATAATAGGCAAAATGCTTTATAGTGGGCAAAATGAAGTATTAATCAAACACAACCACCTAAATTGTACAATGCGCCGCAATATTATTATTATTATTATTATTAATATGGAATTTTCTGTATTGAGGTATACATTTATTTTGCACTATTTATTACATTGCTTTGTGTTTTAGGGTTAAAGGAAATATCTGTAAAGCCTATATGGCAAAAATATATATTTAATGTGGCTAAATTATATTTGAAATATATGCTAAATATATTTTGCAAACAGTGAAACTCAATGAAATGTATTTTTGAAATAGGAAATATTTAGTTTTAACCTTCATATACCAAAATATATTTCTAAATGTATTTCGGGGCAAGAAATTTTATTTTCTTGGACTGAAATATAGAGGTCAAATATATATATATTTTAAATGCTTTACAAAATATATATTATATACATTTAAAATATATATAACAATTGCCAAAAATATATTGGTAGAAAATATATTTATGTAAATTTTGGAAGCACATTTTAGCAAATATAATTTTTGGCCATTTTTGGTATATTTTAAAATATATGAAAACATTGAAAACAATGTCCTAGCAGAAAAGTTCTGTACTTCTACTGATATTTTTGCTTCCAATGTGATTCATTTAAAATGAATCATTTTCAAAATAATAAGATATTTACAGTGAATGTTGCTGTTCATCTCTGTGTTTTTCCACTGTTTATTTATTTCAATTACAGTTTTTTTGGCCAGATAAATTATGCTCTGAGTAAATCATTTTTGAAAACATTTAGACTGTACTGTAGTTGAGTTATTTAAATTAAAGTAGCACTAAATATACAGTATATGACTAAAACAGAGCTCACTAATGGATCCATAATCAGGTTATTTTCCACTTGTTTCAAGAAATAGCTGACCCACAGATTATATTTGACAGGCAAGGACACCTCCATCTGTGTTTCTTTAAAGTTCTGTTGTGCGCAATGTACAGTACTTATCTCACTGTGTAATTCCAGCAGGGATGTGTGTAACATAGCTGTAATGTAGTTGGTTAACAGTGTTATCAATTTCACAACCACATATGAAACAAGTGCACACCCACACAAACAAACTTGAAAATGTCTTTCTTTGTCTTTGTAGGAGTTTGTAATGATTGTGGTGTTTGGGCTCGAGTACATCATTCGAATCTGGTCTGCTGGTTGTTGTTGCCGGTACAGAGGATGGCAGGGACGACTTCGCTTCGCAAGGAAGCCGTTCTGTGTTATAGGTGAGCCTTTAATCAATGTGCAAAGTTTCTTTCCATGAAATGAGAATCATGAAACTTTCATTGTTTAAGTTCAGAATTTCCAGACTTTTCCTATTTCTAAATGAGGTGATAGAGTGAGATCCGTATTAGAAAAGGAGTTCACTATTATTTAACCTATTCAAACCTGGTTGAGAGATTTGATCAGATTTACTAGCCATAAACATTTCTTACCTCCATGAAACTGTAAATATCATTATTTAAAAAATATATACACTTTTTTTCATAAACAGCACAGGCCAGCATTGCACTCACAGCAGTAGATGAGATTTGAAAGAAATTGCATTTGTGACAAAAATGTGAAGTCATATTGGCAATTTATTATTCATTTCTTTCTCCTTTGTGACTTGCTCTGCAAGGAACATTCCAAAGTTGGAGGAAATATGTTCTGGAGGAACATAAGAGATTTCTTTCAAAAACGTAAAAAAAAAATCTTACCCCAAACTTTGGACGGTCCAGTCACATATATCTGATCTATGCTAGGTGTATATTCCCAGTCCCAGTTAACACAGTCATGCTAGTCATATGCTTTGACAGCTATTAGTAACACTAATACTGTCCTCCCTCACAAATGAATTGCTCCAGTCAGCTTTCATCCTTCCATGATGACACAAATTATGTTTATTCCTATATAACCAAGGCAACAGCCTCATAACTGTAGATCACCATTAAGGAAGTGTCTTATGCCTGTAAAATAACCTAACCGCACTTCCCCACTGACCCCAAACCTTTTAGCCGGCATCCTCCAGTTGTGGCTGCCAAAAACTACCAAATCCACTTCAGCAAACAGCTCTCATTCAGTGACCCCTCAACCTGTCTAATGTTCTCCAGACTGCTGTTACACTGTGTGAGCTCATTAATACTGGCTTTGCTATTAATAATGTCTTACTTTGTTTAAGTGTGTGTAGGTGCTTGTGGTGTCTGTTCTTAAGTGCTAACACTTAGCCCTGGCCTTATCGATCTAAATGGGGATAATGAACGTCATTAATAATGGGAATAATGTGTCTGTGTGTGTGTGCTGACCAACTGTCCTTTGAGATTCTATTAAGCCATGCCTCAATCTGATCACTATTCCCCTTTGTTAGTATATCGTGAACACAAACCCAGGCACTAGCAAAGGTCTTGATCCCAAACATCAGAGACACTGATGACTCAATTACTGTACAAGGTTTGCGCATTAAAGCATAGCTATTTTTTAAACAAAATGTTTATGTAGCTCACCATTGTGCATCTACATTGCAGCTGTTCAGCCGCACAGTGCCATTATGAAATTGGTGCGGTTTCATGCACACAAGGGATTAGAGTTAATTAAAATCGTAATCTCTTTTAACAACAGAAAATAAGATGTTTCATACATTCACACTTGTGCTCATCCTTGACCATTTGGATTTAATATTTTTCACAGTTTGTTATAGGCAGGCATTCTGGGAATTTATAGGGAGCAAATGTCTCAGTACTGGAATGATTTTGACTCCCTTGCTAGTGCGCTTAGAACTGAACTAGGCAGCAACTAAAATGTTAAAACCTGAAAAATACCCATCAAATAATGTGGTGATAACAATCTGATTAATGGTTGGTCTTTAGGCATTCAATATCCATATCCATGTGAAAGCTCATCATATAACCATTAGGCTACTTCTTGACACAAATTTGAAAGTAGAAATGTTTAAGATGGTTTTATAGCATGTGAACATAGAATTACTGTATGTCATTTTCTTTCTGGCTGAAGTCACTTTATACCACACACATGCACATTTACAGCCCCATTTCATCAATATGATGTTAATGGAAACAGAATGCACTAAGAATTAATAACAGGTGATTGATTTTAGATCATTTAAAACTCATTATGAGTGAATGTTTATGTACCCAGAGGTCCTACAGGACCTGAGGGTAAATAGTGTTGCGAACATCGGACTAGCAGCAACATGTTTTAGGAAATACTGCATTCATGCATCATATACCATGATTGTTGCTAGAAAGTTTTAAGTAGTTTTAAGGTTTTTTTTAACAGATGGGTTGGGAAGCTGTTTCCAGAATAAACTTATTCAGGCAGGATTTATTTTGCTTTGTCACATTTAAATTGAGTGCATGTTTCCTAATTGATTCAACAAGTCTTTAGCAGCCATTAGATGGTATTTGTGTGTTAAACTGATGAATGAACCCTGTCAACGAAAGAATGGTGTTCAGATGATAATGTATTGGATTTTGTTGTACCCTCCAGCAGTTTATAGCAACACCAAGAATGGGTATCCCCTGGCTGTTCTCAAAGTTAGTTACTGCACAAAGAAAAAACATATATTTCAGATTTAGTTTGCTTGCATAAACTTGTCAAGTAACAGTCAACATATTCTGCCACTCAGTTGAAGCCAAAAATGTTACATTTCTATACTGCATTGAATAGCTAGATTTCACATTCAGGTAGTTTGATATATAGCATTGACCTTACTAATAATCTGGCATTCAAAATCTGTTTTAAAAGAGTAGTTGAAAATTTGCTGAAAATATACTCACCCTCAGGCCATCCAAGATGTAGTTGAGTTTGTCAAACCTTTGCTTCCGGCTAAAATATAAGTTCTCTATCCATAAAATTGCTGTCCTTTAAATCTGGCATAAACTTAAAAAGTAGGACTTTGAAATTGTTATATATTTTATGCAAGCTGTATTATATTAGAAAAATGTCAGATAAAAGCATTGTCACTAGAGGTTTCAGGCTTTTGGACCCAAAACTCCATAATACTTCATTCTTTTTTTTTTTCCAATTGTCATTTTTAAAAGATAGTGGAACAAAATTCTTTCACTTCTCAACAGGGCTGATTCTGAATCGTGATGGTGGTCTCTTTCATGTGAAGGCCTGATGTATTTTTCATTGAGTTCATGAGTCATCTCTCTACTGTGCTAGATAACGGAGTCATAATTTATAGATCCAGAGTGCACTTCTGCACCTAAATAAGCATTTTCTCTCCCAGCTCGAGACTCCCCAAAGACTTTAAGAACACATGTAATGTGTTGATTTGACTTATAACGACAGACTGCAGCACAGAGCAGTAGAGTGGCTGAGCATGAAGGCCCTTTCTCTGGAAAGTCTGAGTTCATCGTCTACAAAGTATATGAGAAATTAGAGGGAGGATCAGAAAGAGAAAGAAAATATTATTGCAGTTGAGTAGTGCCTTGGAGTTGTTTGTGCTTTTTGAGGGTTTGATGTCGCTTTTCCAAGTGGATGTAGTTTCTGTGTTAACTTCCCGTGTCCTTTGCGTGTTCTTTCTGTCTCTTTCTCTCTTTTCCCCTCCCTCAATCCTCTTTTCCCACAGAATATGGGCAAAATGACAGTTTGGAAATCACTCTTTTCAATCATTTACATGAACAGAATGGCTATGTTCCTCTGTGAACTCTCATTTGAGAAGTAAATTGTCTAGTTTGAGCCGAGGAGATGCCATTCCCATTTACCTGCATTAAACTACATTGACAATTTTTCAAGTTAATGAGACATTTACGTATAAACAAAAGACATACGTTTGATGTTCAGTGGTGTTGTCGACCACGGAGTCTGAAACACTTCAAAACTAAGTGATTTTATTGAAGAACATGCAGTTCTTGAAACTTCTGGAAAGTGAATCATTAGTCAATTAATTCACTATGCTCACAGTTTTTGTGATTTAAAAAATCATTGAGGGAAAAGTCAAGTCAAGTCAAGTCACCTTTATTTATATAGCGCTTTTAACAATACAGATTGTGTCAAAGCAACTGAACAGCATTAAATGAAGAAAAGCAACTCTTCATATAATTGCAGATGAAATGCTGGACGAAATATAATAGGTGGCCTTCAAGTTCAAAAAAGGTTGAGATTTATTAATTATTGGATCCTTTTGTCTAATGGGATTTACAGTATGCAATAATATATCACAAGGACAGGTCACCTAGGAAGTCAGATGCCACTTTCATAGATTAAACCAAAAAGAAGAAGAAAAAATTAAGGATTACAGAGAATTAAGCTGTTTCAGAGGACCTGGTAACTAACTAAATAACATTTTGAATTTTATATGCCGTTAAAACACACATGGCAAATTATATCTCCTGTGATATGCTACGAATGTAAAATGTTTTCTGACATCATTTTTTCTGTTCTTTTACCCAACCGTCAGACATTATAGTGCTGATTGCCTCTGTTGCGGTGGTTTCGGCTGGGAGTCAAAGCAACATTTTTGCAACATCTGCACTGCGAAGCTTGCGGTTCTTACAGATCCTGCGAATGGTACGCATGGACCGCCGTGGAGGAACTTGGAAGCTTCTGGGATCTGTAGTTTATGCCCACAGCAAGGTAAGTTTATTGCATTGACAAGTCACCATCTAGAATTATTTGCTTTTGAGTTACTTTGATATACTAATCATTTAAATGCATGCTTTGTTTTATGAGCAAAAGCTACTGTCATATTGTGAAGTACTTTTTGTACTTTTGTAAGTCCTCTAAATGCTTCTCTGTCTAACAGGAATTGGTCACTGCCTGGTACATTGGGTTCCTTGTGCTCATCTTTTCCTCTTTCCTGGTTTATCTGGTGGAAAAGGAGTTCAATAAAGACTTTGCCACCTATGCGGATGCATTGTGGTGGGGCACAGTGAGTCTCCACACCCCACATCTGTTCAAGTCCAAGTAATATTCTGACCTGTACAGAGCTTCACAAAAGAAGTTCTTGTGGTGCCACATACGTGTTCTTAGCACTTCTATGACTCTTATGCAATTATTCCTGGGTAATTTTGGACGTTCTTGCATAATGTCCAACATTACTGCAAAACTGCAAGACGTACCGGTTTCAGTTTAATATGATCATTGATATCAGATTTCAGTAATAATTTCAGGCTCACGCTTTTCAGCCTTTTGATCATTTCCTTCCACCTTGTTTGGGAAATTGAAACCTTTTTCATAAAGGTTATATGGAGGCCCATTAGATTCCATTTCCATGGAGATAGAGAGTAATCATGACGGCACAAATGACAAACTCCATCTCTGGTCTCGCTTGGATGCCCTTGATGGTTCAGAGAATAGATTTCAGGCTCATTCAGGTTGTTTCAACCCAAAAGAAAAATACAACTATACGTATATGCACAAGTAAAGAGATAAACACATACAGAAGTACAAAAAATGATCTAGCACATGTGTTCTGGTGAGGTCATGGTGAGGTAACGCAAATTCAATCTGTCAATAGATAAAATCTAGCCAATTTAGCCAGATGCCAACTGGGCAAGTTGCTTGATATCATCCTCAAAAACCATAAGCAAAATTTCACAAGGTAAAAAGAAAAATTACCCAAACTACACTAAACACAGCTCACTTGCAGTGAAGATAAACATGGTTTACATCGACCGTGATGTGTTTTATGCAGTTAATAATTAAGGTGAGGTTAGAGCATGAATTTTTAAAGAGACTTTCAGAAACCAGAATTGTTTTTTGTTCAGTTTATGTCATATTAGTAATATTAGATAATGTTGAGCCTATGCAGTTTGTGGTTATATTAATAAATGTATTAGAATCAAATATAAAAATGAAAATACAAAACAAAACAAAAGTGTCAGTTAAAAAATATACAGTATATAAATTACATTTTGTTTGCACTATTGTAAACAATTTTACATCTGAGTCCTAAAGGACATTCTGTCATAAATTATTATAATACCCTTTATTCAAAGTTATCTGATCCATCTTGACAAGTCTTTTATCTTGGCAAATCAAGATCAAAACGTAAGTTATGCAGTTCACAGATACAAAGTCGAAAGTTCTCTATTGACCCTCTCTGTATTTTTTTTTTATTAGATCACCCTCACTACTATAGGTTATGGAGATAAGACTCCTAAAACCTGGACTGGACGAATGCTATCTGCTGGCTTCGCCCTGCTTGGGATCTCTTTCTTCACTCTGCCTGCGGTAAACCTTTATTACAGCAAAAAAACATTCTCATACCTTGTTTCCTTACACTACCTACAGTATTAATCCAGTGTTTGTTTATCTTGTCACTTCTCCAGATACAACACCAATAAAGAAAATAATTTGCATAAATAATTTGCATAATTGAGACAGTCGCTAATGTTCTTCTTGGTTTTTAGCCTTCAGTACACAGTGAAATCTTATTTCTGGCCTAAAGCTGAATTTTATTTGGCGTCTTTGTGAAATGCAAAGGCAGTTTGGCTGATTACCCTGTCAGAGCAACAAGGTTTCCAGCCAAATTTACAAATCAGCCTAAATGAGTTGATGGAAATGGTGGAAAATGGATGTTCTAATTTCGAATTAAACAGCTCACCCCTTTGGACTTCCACTTTTTGATCATGAAATGATAAAACGTTGAGGGAGCTGAGTTTGACCACTCATATTAGTAAAATTAAAGCTATAACTTCCTGCCTGCAAGCTTCATGGTACTTAACATTGTTTTTGCTAACTTCTTAAATAACTTCTTAAAGGGATAGTTCACCCAAAAATGAAAATTCTGTCATTAATTACTTACCCCCAAGACAAGAGGGTTTGGAATGACATGAGGGTGAGTAATTAATGACAGAATTGTCATTTTGTGTGAACTATCCCTAGTAGTACTTCTTAAATTGTAGTAATAAAACAAACTTTGTAAGAATTCAGTGTGACATAATATGTTAATACATATATTGTATGTTAATGTGAACATACAATATAATACTGTTGCTTGTTGATAGTGGAAAGTGCTTTTACAAAGAGCTGCTAGCATGAGTGTGTTTCCTACAGTCCTATTGTCTAATTCTAAACTATAGCATTAGTGACATGGTTCTACTTTACTTGCATTGCAGGGTATTTTGGGTTCAGGTTTTGCCCTGAAGGTTCAAGAACAGCACAGACAGAAGCACTTTGAGAAGAGAAGAAACCCTGCTGCCTGCCTCATACAGGTCAGACACCAGAGTCATTACATCTGCCCTCACATTTGGGGATATTACACAATCCTTTACAATAGAATTTGGTATAGTGTCATTTTTATGACAGAGATTTTTATGGTAAATGTCATGCCTCTGAGTAGAGTACTGTTTGCTAATGGTCTCGATATATTTTTAACTGTTATTTGTGTCTGAATGCACCACAATGAAATGGCTGAGACTGCAGATAGTCTTACCTAACACAGTTTTTCCCAACCTTTTTTTAGTCGCGGCACCCTTTGGAAATTTTAACAAACTTGTGGCACCCTACAAAATTTATTTTGTCACAATATTTGAAAAATATATATTTGAATATTTGAATTTCTAACTTCGATATGATAATTTGAAAAGTATAGATATTCGGTACAACAGGGAAGAACTGCAGAATATAATGTCATACAGATATTTTTAATATTATTAAAAAATGTTGTCCATCAATGGTGGCAATCAGTAGGCTAATTTCTAATGAAGAGACCAATTTATATGACAGATTTTAATGTAGGCTTTTATACATATGTAAACATTATTTAATTACCATTATAACTAGCTATCTCACAAATTTTTGCTCACTCAATGTTTGTTTATTTTACAGTGGGGTAATTATGGTGCAGTAGCACGAGATAGCTTGATTTCAAACTTTGAATTGAATAAAAAATGACAAGTAAGCAGTCAG